GTCCTGAAAAGGTGCTAAATTGGCTTTGGTGAATATTTCCTCCTGAATTTGATTCATGCACCGAACAGCCCAACAAATGCAGTTAAATCTCATCTTAGAACAAAAAGAACAAAAGCACAGAATATAAAACCTATAAAGAGATTTTCTGAGGGGAACACATTGAATTGAATTGAAACCACTATTTTTCTCTTTTAAAAACAAGAAACAAAACGCTGTCCTTTTTTTAGGACTTGAGCTGAAAATAATTGTTTACAAATGTTGCATTTAATTAAATGCAGCGCTGCTGGCCAAGTTGGCTGCTTGTCAAAATGGAAAACTTCAAAGTGTCCTTTGGTTTTATTTAGCGAATCGTCAGCTTTGTACCTCTGTACGTGAGACAAAAGAACAGAATGTAAATAGAGTCATAAATGGTGGGGATTACTGCTGTTTATTTAAGCCTTTGGTGTTAGGTTTTTTTTTTTCTTCAGTTGCTTTAATAGTTGGCTCTAAACAATAATTCCTACTTGATTCTCACAGTTTTTGAAAACAGCTAGGGCCGCATTGGAGGGTTCAGCGGGCTGGATTTGGCCCACGGACCTCCAGTTGATGATCTCTGCATTAAATGATGAATTATTATTATTATTATTTTTACAGTAAAGCTAGCTTAAGCCAGTGGTTCTCAAACTTTTTATACTCTAAGTACCACCATGATGACCAACATTAGACTATAGCAGCCTGTTAGCTTCCCTATTAGCTTCCACCACACACAAGAGAGCGCTCGCGTACCCCCGGAGGTACGCATACCACAGTTTGAGAACCACTGGCTTTAGCCATTTAAAAGTTTTTGATTCAATATCTGAATATTCCACAGTAACTCCTAAGTAACTTTTTTTTTTTTTTTGTTGCAAAGTTATATATCTTGCCCTGAACTAATGAAGCACAACCTGCTCTGCCTTAACCGTCACCAAGCCAACTCTTCTTCTGGGCCCGTGCACATAGGATGTGTTCATTAGTGTCGAGCGCCGTGACTCCCACCTCTTTGAGCGAAAGCCTCTCAGATCTCCGTGATGTGGTTAATATTACTGCTTGAAGAAGATCAAATGTGGTGGCACGAATGCAAAACAAGACATATGTGACACACTGGAAACCAGGAATATATAATTCAGACAGTGGCGGATTGAAGGAGTGTGAGGCCTTAATGCTGGTTATTTAAAGTCTGACAGGTTTTTTTTTTTTTTTGATGTAAGGTACTAAGGCTTCTCCCAACACTGCCAAGAATTAGTGAAACACTGTATTATTTCCATAAAATTGCATTGTGGGATATCCCTGCCTTTAGCATGTACTGTAGGTAACTTCCACTCCTACAAACTGTGCAGTCTGGAAGAACTGTTACAGCATTCCGTTTGGTGTTATGATCAGACCAATTGCTTCTCTGATCTATAAGGGAAATGGAATTTTTGCTCCGGGGTTCTACCGTACGGCGGTTATACTTCTATCTCTGTGTAAACAAGAACATTTGCGTATATAAACACATCTGAGAAAACACAGACAACACAGGACTGAATACCTCACAGCACGAAAATGCTTTCATATACACTCCCAGTGATGTTGTCGGTGAAACTCTCTATCTATCTATCTATCAATCTATCTATCAATCTATCTATCTATCTATCTATCTATCAATCTATCTATCAATCTATCTATCTATCTATCTATCTATCCATCCATCCATCTATCTATCTATCTATCTATCTATCTTTCTATCTATCTGTCTATCTATCTATCTTTCTATCTATCTGTCTATCTATCTATCTATCTATCTATCTCTCTATCTATCTATCCATCTATCTATCTATCTATCTATCCTTACTTCATGTTTTTTTTTACCAGTTTGATATAAAACAAAGACACCATATTGATTTTGTCATAGATGTGTCAGGAGTGCTGTATATATTTACAGGGGTTTTGGGGTATTTTTTTTAATATATATATTTTTTTGCTCTCTGTTCAATATTTATAATATACTGTTTGTCCTATGGTGGTTTTTCGACTGAAATACAGCGAACAGCATGGCTAGGCTGTGCATATTATCATTATTTTGACTTTTAAAGCATGGTTACCCACTGACTTCAAAATGTCAGCCCAACTCTCAAAGTCACTTTGTGTAGGTGGATCAGAGGGGGGAAAAAAAAAAAAAAAACACACCGGTGCTTGATTGTGTTCAAGTACCCACCTGCAAGAACAACTAAATCTTCTAATCACAGCTGCTCTGTGCAGTTCAAATGATTACCTCCTGATGAAGCTCGGATCAAGGACGACAAGGATCTGATGCGTTCAGGAGACAGGGACTCAGGGAAGAGTCGAGTGAAGACAGATGCCTGATAAGACAGACGTTTCCCTGCTGGCAAACACGACGCCGTTCTTCGTGATTTCCTGCAGTACACGACAAGATACAGAGAGGAAGGTTGATTTGTGCTGATTTAATCACATTTTATCCACAGGACCCGGGTACCACTGAATGGGGCTGTGTGCGGCCCGGCTTGTAACCGTAATGTTCTGCATGTTTTTTCCGCCTTGTTACTGCAGCAGTGATGGATGAAGAAACAACGGTCC